ATATATAATATAAATTATTATCAAATATAATAATATCAAATGATAATTTATTTTTATTTCAAAATAATTTGCACCAATAAATATGTTGCTAAATATTTTGCATCATTAAATTTTGCACTTTTTTTATTTGTTGAAATAAAATTTGCATCTTTTATTTTTTTCATTCTTTTCTTCTTTTATCATCTCTTTTGTTTTATTACACTTTATCTTCTTTATTTTTATATTCTCTCCTTTCTACTTTTATTCTTTCTTCATCTTCTTCTATTCCTTATTTTATTTTTATTCTTTTATATCATTCATTCTCTTCTTTTTCAATTATTTGCTTTTTTTCGTTGCCAATAACAAATTACAAAATTGAATGAAATAGATAAAATGATAAGAAAATGAATAAAAGAATGAAATATAAAATGTACATGAATGTGTAGCAATAGATTATATGTAAATCAAAATAAAATGGGAGATGGAATAAAGAGTAAAAGAGATGAATATAGTATTGAAATAGTAAGAAAATATATATTTCATGTTGAAAAGATGAGATATGATAAAGATAAAAGAAAAAAGAATTGAATATGGAATAGATTGTATAAAATATGTGGAAAATAAATGAAGAAGAAAAATAAAGATAAAAAGAAAATAATAAAATACATAAAAGACAAGTTTCAAGAAGAATATATCAATAAATGGAGAAATAAGAAAGTAATAAAATCATAAAATGAATTGAAGATAAAATGACAGACAAAATGAAAACAAATAAAGAAGGGATATATTCAAATAACGAAAAAAACAACAAATAATAAATAATGAAATAATTTAGACAAATGAACAAAAATATTCAATGTGTAATATCTGGAATATAATACCAACATTAAATAATATCTTTCTCATTTGTATAATCATTAAAATTTCACAAATGAATAAACATGATAGAATAGGAGAATATATAATGGAGAGGGTTAAAATTTAAATAAAAAATATATAAAGATGAAGAAATAAAGAAAAAAAGAGAAGAAGAAAATACAAAGGAATTAATAATAAGAAAAATAGAGAAAGATAAAATGGTTATGATTTGAAATTAAGAAATAATAAATAAGAAAGATTTGAAGAAAAAACGCATTAATCATAGATATGACAATATTAAGAAATAAGAATATAAGTAAAACATTCACAAATAAAATAAATATATAAAATTACATAAATATATAAGAAAAATAGAAAGAATAATAAAAGTAATAATCATTCAACTTCATAATAATAGTAGAAAAATTGATAAATAAAGAAATAATTAGATTGTGAAGAAATGAATGAATTAAAATTTCATGAAAAATAATTGTAAAAGATATTGTACTATCAAATATGAAAAATATTAAGAAATACTTTGATGAATATTCAGGAAAATACATGGATGTAGAATAATAAGAAGAAATATATTCAGAATGAAAGAAATGAAGAAATTCTCAAATGAACAATATGTTAAAAAAATATTAATTTATGATTTATTTATTGAATGGATATTTTATTATTAATCAATATGATTATGATTATATTGTCATATTTCATCATTTTTGATTTATTATGATAAATATAAGAGAGTAGAATGTGTTGTTATTATTTTGGATGTACAAAGTGTTTAGTATTTTATTCTTTCATTTTTCTTTATTTTGTTTTTCTATACATAATGAATATTGCTCCATCTTTCATTTTAGTTAATTGTAAAATTGAATTCTTTTTAATATTAATGAATTTCTATGATTTATTTGTAGTACTTTTATCTACTCTTTTTGAATTAAACATTCTTCTAAATTATATAATGAAAATAAAATGAAATGAAAAAAGATTAGTTTTTCTTTTTTAATGCAAGTTTAGCCATTAATTCTGCATTAACTCCTCCTCCAAATCCTTGTCCTCCTATAATTTTCTTTTCAGGTTGTTTTTCGCTTTGTTTCTCATTGTCGATATGTGACGTTGTTGTTTCATCTAAATGTGTTTGTTGAGAAGATTCATCATGACTTTCTGGTACATCTAAATGAACAACATCTTCTTCTTTAAGTTCTTTAGACCCAACTTGAAGTGCTTTTTTCGTTGGTGGTCTTCTATTTCCTTTTCTTGAAATTCTTTTTACTACAGCTTGTGGTGCACTTTCTGACTGTAATGACTCATTGTCTAATCCATCTTTAATCTCAATATCAATTTTATGTATTTGACTATCACTTATTTCTTTCTCTTCTTTCTTTTCTTCTTGTTTATCTCGTCGTTTACCAGGTCTACGAATAACTTTTGGAATATCAACTGAAAGACTATCTAATTGTGTTTGAATTTCTTCTTGTTTTTCTTTATCTTTCTTCTCTTCTATAATCTTATCATTAAATTCTATTCGATTTCTATTTGTACTTGTATCTTCTTCTTTATTTGTATTTTCTTTACAAATATTTTCAAATTCAAATCCAATACTACTTTCAATAACTTTCTCATCTTTAGCTCCAACTCGTTTAGGTGCTTGTCTTTTTAACATTTGTGAATTCTCTCTTTCTTTCTTTGGTTTATTATATTCTACAAATCGAGTTTCTTTCTTTTCTTCAAGTTCTTTAGTAATTTTAGTTTTACTTATTACATATTCTTTATAATCATTTCCTCCTCTTTCAATATTACATAACATTTGATTAATATGTTTTAACATTTCTGTCATAAATACTTTTCTACCATCTTTTCTAACTATTGGTTCTTGAATTATTTCTCTATGTTTTTTAAATATTTCAATTATCATTTCAATTGTTTTTTTAATACTATCTATTTCAACTGGTAATATAATTCTAATTATTCTTCCTTTATATGTTTTTGATATAAAATTAACTAATGAAATCCCAAAATTTTTTACTCCTTTTCTTTCATCTATTAAACTTTGTATTCCTGTTTCAATTGCTGTATCTATTCGAATATTTCCTTCTATTTCTCCTAATTTAATATTAAATCTTTCAAAATCATATGTTAATGGAATAATTTCTTTATTTTCATATCCTATTTTAATATTACATATTTTTCTTAATTTAATGATAGTTTTAATATCTTGTTGAATTGTATTAATTCTTTGATTCATAACATTATTAACTATTTCACTTATAAATTTAATATATTTATTTTCTTTTCTTATTCCTTTAATTATTCCTATTAAATATCTTTCTCTTTTCCAACTATCTACAAGTTCCATTTGTGTTTTAATATTACTTTCTTTTTTTTCATTAATTTCATTCATCATATATTCATAATTATTTTCTTCTTCATGTCTTCCATATTTCATTTTCATTGCTTCTCCAATTTCTCTCATTGTTACATCTTCTTCATTTAATATAAATTCTATTTCTCTATTTAATTCTGGTAAATATGATATTAATTCTATTCGAAAATTATCTTTTTCACATACTGGATTTTCACTTAAATCTAATTCACTTAAATTTTTCATTAATTTAAAACTTTGTTGTTCTTTTTTTATCATTGTTATCCTATTTCTTCTTGCTGATAAACATTCTAATCCTCCCATAGCTTGAAATCCATTTAATGTTTCAATATAATTTTCATCTACAAATAAATTTTTAATATTATTTGAATAATACATATAACATTCTCTTATTTTATTATTATTTAATATTAATGTATCTGTTGGTCTTTCTTCTAAATTTTCTATAACTTTAATTTCATTATAACTTAAATCTAAAAATTGTAATTTTGGAAATAATTTCTTTTCAAATATTCCTGCTCCAATAACATTTACTTTACATTTAATACATTTTAATGTTTTTAATTTCTTCCATATTAATCCTTGTGTTGATCCTAAAAATATTTCTAACGTTTGAATTCTACTATTTTCTACTGTTAATTCTATTAAATTCTCCGCTAATCCTTTTGTTGTCATATTTACAAATACTTTTAAATCTTGAATATGTAATCGTGTAATACTACATGCTGAAACAAATCCTATAGGTAATTTAATATTTTTCCCTTCTTGTATCCCTCCTAAGATTTCTCCTGATTCAGGTTCAATTTTAATATGTTTAATTCGTCTAAAAAATTCACTCATCCCATTTCTTTTCCCAAATGATGGATGTGCCATCCCATTCATAAACATTACTAATCCCGGTGTTAATATTAATTCTTTATTTTTCCCTTCTATACTCACTTCTATAAATTTATCTAAATATTTAAATAATTTCTCTTTAAATATTTCTTTATTTTCATTCATTTCTTTTTTTTTTTTTATTTATTTTCTAGTTTCTTTTTCTTTCTTTTTTTTTTCTTTTTTTTTTTTTTCTTTATTAAAATATTTGTTTTATTATCTTTTATTTGATTCTTCTCGGTTTTTGAATTTATAGATAATCTCTACAATGAAATTCAGTATGTCTAAGATATAATAACTCAATAAAAAATGATATGGAATTATTAAAAAAAATATTTTGGTTGTATTTTGAAATCATGACTATAATAAAAAACTAATTGAGAAATGAATAAAATGAGTTAATATGAAAATGGTTTTAAGAAAGTATTGAGATTTTTGTAAAGTATATGAATATGCCTGTGAGGTTGGAATATTGAAAAGAAATGAAAGAGTAAAGTTATAATATTTTTAAACTTAATGTGTTTTTTGTTAAAAATGACTGTCAATAGTTAATGGAGAATAATAAAATGAATAAAGCAAAATGAGAAAAGATACAGAATATTGCAGTGGAATATTTTTAGAAAACTGTCGTGTTAAAAATAAAATATAATTAAAGAATCATTTTAAAAGAATTTAGTTGAAAGATACTAAAGAAATATGTAAAACAAATTATTATATAATTATTTTGACTATTTATAATGAAGATATTAATGAGAAGAAGAATGTTAAAACCTTATTAGTTAGAAGAATAAAAACACAAAAACTTAATGGAAATTTTACAATATTAAAAAGACTATCTAACACCTTTAAAAAATGTACAAAATGATTATTGAATTTACTATTTAATAAAAAAGAAGAAAGCTATTCTATTTAAACACATATTGATGCTTGCTCAAGAGAAAAATGATTTTATAAGTAGTGATTTGTAATTATAAAAACTATGGTTGTAATGTTATAAAGGTTAATGAAAAAAGACTAATAAATAATACATATGTATTGAATTATAATTGAACTGAAAATAAAGTATATTGCCGTAATGTGTATAATGATTTCAAGAGAGATTTGAGAAGGAAAAAGTTATGTAATAAATGTTATTTAGAAATATTATTTAATTTTTATTTGTTAGTTTTATTTCTATCAAGAAAACAGATTTTATTTCCACTCGTTTCAATATTATTCGCATGACATTTTTGAGTTTATTTAATTAAACTTACATAGTTGAATTTTTTGTTTGAATAGTCTTTTTAAGGTTTTGTTTCTCATTTAAAATTCTGTATGCAAGAATGTGTAATCAATAAAAATTTAATAGTCTTCATTTTAATTGAAAATTAATTTGTAAAACTGCTAACAGTATTTTATTATGAAATATTTAATTATGGAAAATGATGCTGGTTACCTTATGACATACTATCAATGTATTGATTTTATTTTATTATTATAGGTATTGTCAAATTACATACCATTCTTTTTGTTTATTTTCCATTTTATTTCTTTTGTTATTCGTATTTTTCTAAGGATTATTATATTAATAAATCATTTAAACAATATAGAATAATTCCTATTTTCTTGTGTTGAATCGTTTTTATTTCATAATAAATATTAATGAACTTTTAGTACATTTGAATTACCATTTCTATTTATTTTTTTTTCTTTGTATTGTTTGTTTAATACTATAACTATTTCAAGTTTATCATTTATCTTTGTTATTATTAAACAGACTTAATAACCTTATTCAATTCATTGAAATCTCTTCTAAATCTTCTCATTTTTTACATTTATGTATCAATGTTCTTATTCTACCTACTTCTTTTTATTTCTCTTTAATCGTTTATTTTTTTTTTGATTCTATTTAATTTGGTTCAGTTTCATTATTCCACTCAGCTTTATGATTCTGTTTTTAATACCAACAATTTTTATTACCAACACCAGCTTTAATTTATTTCATTCATGTATTGATATGATATATTCTTGTTATCTTATCAAAGTGTATTTACTCTAATAAAAATCTTTTTCCATTCTTCTTTACTTAGCAAACAAAAGACATTATGACTCTAAATATATTATACCATCAAGACAGTTCTAAATATCAAATTGATTAAAATTTAATAACTCTTCTTTCAATATCATTGTCTCTGTTGTTCTCACTTCTGTTTATCTAAGATTATCCTTTCATTTTGTTAAAACTCCTTTGTATCTATTCTATTTTTTTTATTATTTGAATGCTCATTTTCTTATCATCCAATGTCTTCTCTGTAATAACTCTCAAATTTCCATTTTGTTTCTTCTTGTATATTGTTTCTTCTTACTAATATCAACTTTATGGCAATGCTCTTATCTTCTTT